TTTGGCTTAAGACTGGTGGGGGGGGGGGTCCGGAGGGGGAAACGGAGGGAAGGGGTGGTGCACGGCAAGGTGCTAAAATTTCAAAAATAGGTGTTCAAATTTAAGGAAATAGGTGTTTTTTTGAAGAAACCGGGTCGGGATCCAGTCGGGACCCAGTCGGGACCCAATCGGGCACCAATTTTTGCATTTTTGGGCACCGCTTTTGGCCAGTCGGGATCCAGTCGGGATCCAGTCGGGCACCAATTTTCGAATTTTTGGCACCACGTTTGGACCTGTCGGGAAGGAGCCAAAATCACCGAAAAACATGCAAAAACACTGCAAAAATGCGATTTTTTATGAATTTGGCTGCCTCCCGACATTGGTGCCCGACTGGATCCCGACTGGATCCCGACTGGATCCCGACTGGATCCCGACTGGATCCCGACTGGCCAAAAGCGGTGCCCAAAAATGCAAAAATTGGTGCCCGACTGGGTCCCGACGGGATCCTGACTGGATCCATAGATTGGCAAGAACCCACTCCCGCACCTATTTTTCCCTCCCCAGACCCACCCTTGCCCCTATTTTCCTTTTCCGCGCACCAGCCGTGCACCAATACCCCCCCCCCTCCTGCACCAAAACGGTAAAAGCAGTCTTAAGCCAAACGGGGGTTTTACAAATGATAACTATTTCTTCTTATAAGGCTAGGATTGTTGTTTAGTTGTTGGTTTTTTGGGGGTTCTTGGTCGTGCCTATTGCCCATGCTATTTGCAGCATTTGGGAGCTGGAACCTTCCACTTTGCATGCCATTTGCAACATTTTGGAGCTGGAAACTTTTCATTGCATACGGTTCCACGCACGGCCTTTTAAAGCTAGAACCTTCCATGTTGCGTACTATTTGCCACTCTTTATAGTTGGAACATGTTGGAACTTTCCTTCGCGCGCGCTATTGGCAGCATTTTGCAACTGGAACCTTCCATTTTGCTTGCCAGTTGCAACATTGGGAAGCTGGAACCTTCCATTTTACCTGCCACTTGCAGCATTCGGGAGCTGGAACCTTCGATTTTGCACGATTTTTGCATATCCGCCAACCCACGTCAGAGAAAAGTGTTGCAAAAGCTATTTTTCCTTGGCTCGACAGTTATTTTTCTAGAAGGCTCAGAAGACGTTAGGCATCGTGGGCCGTATCCCGCAGGGCCTGGCGAAACCTTCACCTAGGTGCTGTTTCGCTGTGGCGAAGCCCTTGGGAGCTGCTCCCCTGCCTCTGCAGCTATTCTTCTAAAGGGGCGTTAGGCATCGTTTGGTGTATCCCGGAGAGCCCGGTGAAACCTTCGCTGTTTCGATGTGGCGAAGCCAGCTTCTTGGAAGCTGTTCCCTTGCCTCATCAGCTTTTTTTCTTAAGGGGTCAGAAGTTAGGCATCGTGGGCTGTACCCCGCAAACCCCGGTGAAACCTTCAGCTAGGTGGTGTTCCTCTGTGGCCAGCTCCTTGGGAGCTGTTTCCCTGCCTCGACAACTATTTTTTCTAGAGGGTTCAGAAGGTGGCGTTACGGACGGATGAACGGACGGATGGATGGATGGATAGATGGATAAATGGAAAGGAAAAAATTACACCGGCATAGGCCCCAGATAGAAAAGGTTTTAGAAACGCTTTTCTATGCCGTGCGAATTGGCTGCGGCAAAAGCGGAACTGCTGGTTCCCAAACGTTGGAACCCATGCTTCCCAATCTTGGACCCACGAGTTCCCAGTTCAAAAAGCACCAATTCCCAAACGTTCCCCGGTGCTTCCCATCTTGGAACCACGGGTTTCCAGTTCTAGGAACTAGCAGTTCCCAAACGTTGGAACCAATGCTTCCCAATCTTGGAGCCGCAGGTTCCCAATTCAAGCCATCGACAAGACTTTTCAGGACCCTTCTATCTATCTTCGAACCGGTCTCTCAAGATCCTGACTCTTTAGTCGCATCTCTTGTCGACCTTCTCCAGCGTCGACATGGCAAATACCCTTGGGCGGTAGGACATGGCCGACCACTGCCAACAGGCTACATTCTGGCAAAACGGAAAAAAGAATTTCGGAATGGCCGCCAATCATTTCCTTCGTGGACTCTCCGTTTCGTCCCATGCTCATTCTTGCTAGAATGATTTTCCAATTGATCCCAGTGGCTTGTCCAAACCACTTTGCCTCGGGCGATGTCTATACACTTCTCTCCATTCTCAAGTCTGCACCTATCGATGCAGACCTCATCCTGGTGAATCAAGACCTGGCTGGTTTCTTCACCAGCATCGATCAAGATCGTTTCATCGGGGCCTGGTTCATGCTATTAGATTTCCTACGACCTCACATGGATGTTTCCGACAATGAAGCATTCTCGGTGTATCCAGGCAAAACTAACAATCCAGGTGACATTATCAAAGGCCGAACCTTCCGTCGACTCAATGTCACCCGCAAGATTGTCATCAAAGATGCGAGGCAGCCCCATGGGCAGTCCACTCTCTCCAGCACTCTGTCTCATGGTTGTCTCCATCAGCGAACAAATCTGGTCCATCAATTTCAAACAAATTCCTAGCAATTACCATTTATTCATTCGCCGCATCAGATATGTTGACAACCGTCTCATCTTTGGTGACTCACGTCTTCGTGACCTCCCACCATATGAAGTACTGCTGGATGAAGGCTTCTACGGGAAACCAATCATCTTGGAAACCGAACCTGACCAAGAGTTCCTCGGTTTCATGCTCGAAACTAAACCCTTGGAACTTATCTACCAAGGACCTACCAACCTTTCCCAGTGCCTATCGCCGTTTTCGGCTTCTCCACCAAAGGTGCTTCTTAGTGGCTTTCGCTCTCGCTGCCATATCGTTGTCAAAGGGCATTCCCTGACCTTCGTGTTCGACAAGGGCTTGACCAATTAATTCATTTGTATACTTTGGCTGGCTTTCCCAATGAGGAAATCCACACCATTTCATCTCAAATTTTAATTCAGCATCAGAACCTTCAGACTCATGAGCAAAAGTTTCAGGCTGCTTTTGACCTTTCTTCTTTGTTTATTTTTCTGTTGTGGGTTTAGGTTTTGTCCTTTCGTTTCTTGAGTTGCGTTTCGTTTGTTCAGCTTGGCTCAAACTCGTCTTGTCCTTTTCGCAGGTGTGTGCTCCACTTCATCATGGACCACACCCAAAGTCGTGAATTTCATCATCATCTTGCTCCTGCCATCATGCACTTGAATTGTCTCGCAGGATTTCTCCCTTTCTTTGAACCGGCAATTGGATGGGACGATCCAATGGGGGAATCTCACACCCGTGCGGGACGATCAAACCCAGCCCATAGGAAACTTCATACTTTTGTTCCTCTCCCTTCCTCCTCATCCGCACCAGCAATGGCATCTCATGGAGGGATTCCCACCCACATGATTTTGAACCCTGAACCAAATCTTCGTCCATTGTCCATTGCCAGTCGTCCACGCAATGACGAAGTCCATCCAGCCACTCTCTCCACACTCCGTCATCCTCACAACGAAACTTGTCACCCACCACCTCCAGCTCCACATTCAACGGTACCTGACTCTTCGCGAGTGACGACGCGTACGTCCACAACTGCTGTTCCAGTTCGATCAAAACAACGTTCGAACAATCCTGAGGACCCACAACCGAAGAAAAAACAACGCTCGGGAGACACCTCGATCCATTCGCCTCCAACCCCTGCCATTTCCCTGCCGACTATTACAGAGGTCCCTCCTGATGGACTCAACTCAGAAGACTCCAATGAAGAGGAGGTTGTTTCTACAGCCCACCCAGCTCATGATGTCTCAACAGTCACAACCAACCCTGTGACTATCACTTCCGCCATGCCAGTTGATCGACCCACTTCACCAGCTCCACTTATACTGCCAATCCAAAAGCATTCCCAAAAGGTCCTCCAACCAACCCTACCATTCGAATTCTGCAACCCACAGCATCCGATCGAGATACTACTATCCGACCTTGGACCGATTATGAAGATCAAGAATTGATCAATCTCAAGAATGACAGCAAATCAAGACCATCGTGGAAGTCGAAAGGTGCCAGATTATGTCGAGATCCACAAGTATCCAAACTTCGCTGGAACTTGTTGAGGCAACTGTCCGACCAGCACGGCACAGAAACTTCCTCGGAACGAACCCGAGGCCGAGGACTAAGGACCTGCGAAGCGTCAAAAAGATGCTGCCTCGTCTTGCCCTTATTTGAATCAGATGTCGCGTGTGCTCTTCTTGTTTGATCCTTGTACGTCAATTTACGGGTTTCCTTTGGTATCTCCCTAGTCATTATGGCTCATCCATCTAGTTACGTAATGTTACGTATCTGTACCCTCTGATCGCTCCCGTCGTCCTACTGATTCTTGGAACTACACCCCATTGCTCCGTCAAACCAGACGGGTTTTGGTCATCATTGACCTAACCCAAGTTCAATATCTTGTGACTGCCCGTCATAGTGATGCTATGCAAATCACTACTTGTGATGCTTTACCTACACTTGGCAGACTTGAAGAATACGCACTGTTCACGTACAGCTTCTTGGTAGCTCCAGCCGAAACTCAGATTCCCACAGTGGAGACCATCCTCTCCTACATCAGTCAGCACATCAAGAAGACATGGGGTGTCTATCTCGAGCCTTCTTCTATGGATCTACGTTGGTCTGACTGCACAGGTGACATGTGCATCATTCGTAATCACCAAATCCTCATTGATCTTCTACGTGCACACCGCCCTCATTGGACTGAAGGCCAAGAGCTCGGAATCCTGTTTAATGCAATTAAGGATTTTGATAATCCTCATCAGCCGTACATAATGCGATTGAGTTGCCACCAGGCACTCCCCAACCCAAATATGCTGCCATGATCCATGGTTGTCAAAAATGACCAGCGCGCTCGTTGTCAGTGATGTCAATCCTGCTTTGAACTTCTTGTCTTTCCTTTCATGTTTTATTGTTTTATTGTCCTAGCTTTGCTTCATTTGGCTTCAGTCTGGATCATGACCAAACGGGATTCCTCATTTGCCAATCTAGAATCCCCCCATGTCCTCATGAGCTCACCACGTCGCCGCCAAGTGGTGATCGAAGCCCGTCGCGATCGCGGTGCTGCTTCTTCGGATGGTGCTTCTTCATCTTCGAATGCCAACCGTTCTTGGGGCTTAGCTCATTCCAGACATGAAGCTTCAAGATCAATGGGTGAACCTCAGCACTTTGGCTATGCTGCCATGATTCCTTCGGTTCCTTTACCATCTGCCAACAACATGCTCCTATCTGACAGGGAGTACAATGCACCGATCCTTGAGAAGCTTGAGATCCCTCCGGCAGATCCAAATAGCAACCCTATTCAGTTGTTCACGGCAAGCGATTTGGCTCACCTTTCAAGCCACTTGGCAATCACTGCGCAGACTCTTTCCCAACATGCTCAGAACCAAGAACTAGATGACATCTCGGAGATCTCCGACTAAGCGAAGCAAGAGCTGCACTTCAACTTCTGAAGGGGCCGGTAATTCATACCTTGTCACTGGTCTTTTGATTTCAAAATCCGATACCAGCTGACCGTATCAGAGCGTGACAAACCTTTCAGGTGTCAAAAAAGCCCTGCGCTAGCAGGGCGTGTGTGTGAACCATCTGAGCAGATGTAAAACCTCTTTTTGCGGTATATTTCCTGGTTTTGTCTGCACCCAAGTAACAAACCGCAGAGGCCCATCATACCTACCTGACGCAACGAAGCTATGGTATGATGGGGGAAGGGTGAACTGATTATTCACCTGTACCTGCAGATCTTGGCATGGATGTCGTGGACATAGCTTGCAAGATCATTCTGATAACTTTTTTCGCTGATGGCACCGGCCAAGCCAAGAACCGGCACGTCGATGGAACTTTGTTTTCTGCACAGTTGTCGCAATCTTTCAAGAGAGAGAGAACGCCTTGGTTCAGATGGATGTGTTGCATCTAGCAAGGACGTAGAAAGAATACCTTGGCACTGTTTCTCGCCTCTGGTCATCAACCAATTCCTGTCAGGTTTAATTGGAGTGTTTTTTTGCACGTACGATACATTCCACATCAGAATTCGCAATGCCTGTTCTGAGCAAGTGTGCGTGTGTGTGTGGGGGTGTGGGGGTGTGGGTGTGTGGGTGTGTGGGTGTGTGGGTGTGTGGGTGTGTGGGTGTGTGGGGGGGGCAACTGCCGCCGACAGGCCCGATGTCGGGAACGTGGCATTACATTACATTACATTGCGTTACGTGATATGAAATGACATGACAATACATTGCATACGCACATACATCCATCCAACCATGCATGCATGCGCCCATCCACCCACCTATTCATCAATCCATACACGCCATTGCACACCACCGCATACCAAGAGATCTGCGCACGGGAAATCAAAACGGGTAGGATGGCATAAGCTTGAATTGGCGAATCAATGCGCCTTTGATGTGTCCGTCTGATCTTGTACCAGCCAAGCTCCCTGCGTTCTATGAAGTTGTTGTTCAAGTTCAAATTCCACAACAATGGGCAGCCTTCAAGGCCTTCAATCCTGAAAAAACGATCAGAACACTGCAAAAGATATGAAACAAGAACATCGTGGACATTCAAGGACTTCATCACCAAAACCCGTTCCCAATCTCTGGCTCTGAGCTAAGCTCGAAACCTTTTTATGCAGTTTTCCTGCTCGCTTGCAGTGTTCTCTTGACAGGCCAAATCTTGAAGACCCTGTGAGGATGTCTTGCACTACTTCAATGAACAATGGAGATTATGTCAATCAACCTCTGTCTAAGTGCCTTCTTCTACAACTGAACAGTCTTGCCAAATCAAACTTCTTGCAGTGCCATTGAGACATTCTAAGGGCCTGAAGGAAAAGAGAGCGCAGGTTTCGGCAGAGAGAAAGACCACTTATTCGATCAAAAGCATTGCACTCTGCATACAGGGCTTTCAGGCCTGTCCTTTGTATCAGCGCCAGGAAAAGCACATGACCACAGCATCAATGTAAAAACAAGTTAACAACATTGCAAGCGGAAAAACATTTTTGATGAAGTGTTTCATGAAGTGCGCGAGAGTCCAGCCCTCCAAGTTCTTCAATTCTTTCCAGCCCTTAGTAGTGCGGGCTGCCATTCCGAAAGTAAACTGGGCCAAACACTACAGC